AGGTGGCGGAAGACCACACAGGGTGATCGGAAGGGGTGGTGGATGGGTCCAACAACCACTGATTTTCGCCCGGGAGCTCAGTATTTGCTTCCTTCAAGATTGTAAAGCCAAACCTTGTTCTTTTTTCCTATATCCAACCACGTGTGTTTGTTGCTGAAGGAGAAAAATGTCAATTTGCAGTATTGTACTGACGTAGTGCATTTATTTTAGTCAGAATGTATGCTAACTGTACATTTCCTGTGAAAATGGAAGTGTGTTTTGAAAACAAACAATGTAACAGGCTGAAGTTGCACGGTGTCCCAGAAGCCTCAAGTTTGGTATTTTGGCCATTGCCACCTTGGATTTTTGAAGCCATAAAAGAGCCTACAGAGTTGGGTGATGTTTTTCTGTGGGCCAACACGGAAGTTAGCATCACCCAGGTTCCCTCATAAAAAAAAGTCCATGGGATTCCATAGGATTTTGGATCATTGCAGAAAATACGCTCTGTGGCAAACAAATGTTTAGACTTAAACATTTTGTTTAGCAAGATAATCTTCACATATGAACACCACTTTTCTAATTTTTAAAGCCTAAATGTAATCACTAGAAGCAAAAACATAATGTTAGAAAATAAAAAGAAACTACACCACGGTCACAACTTAACAACCCTACCAAAACGAAGCCATAAAGCAGTGTTCGATGTGATGACCTTCTGTAGTCTCATTTAGCCACTTGTTAGCAACCTTCTTTATTAAGACACATAAAAGCTTCAAAATTCACGAGTGGGTTATTTAATGACATATTTTCTGAAAGTGTCTTTAGCTTGTGTTAACCACAGACCTTATTTCAGGCATCTCACCAAAAACCCATTCAAAAAACTCATTAGCTAAACCACCTATTTGGACGAGGGGGTGGAGATTACCCTAACACAGTGGGCCCTATTTAGATGGTCTAAAACGCAAAGTGCCAGACGTGAAGGGTTGGACTTACTCTGTGAATTAGTCATGGGTGTGTTTTGGGCGTATCATTCAATAAGCCAATCAGAGTGTCACCTCTCATTCCCTTTAAAAGAAGCGCGATTGGAGCACATGGCGGACAGCTAGTTAGATGGCGGACCTACCAACTGGAAAGAGTGAGCGTTTTACAGCTGAGGAGACGGATCTCCTCGTGCGGGAGGTGAAGGCCCGTCAGAACCAGATCTACGGGGACAGAAGACAGGCACCCAAGCTCCCCGAGGTAAAGCAGGCGTGGGATCACTAATACGAGAAAGATCCTACTAAATATCTGTGGAATATTATTCAAACCTGTTTTCATCATATAAAAGAGCACAGCTGTCAGGACTGCCGCGGAGCTCCCCAAGGTTCTGATCCTGCAGCTAGGACCTGTTCAGCGTTTTCTCCCCCACCCATGTTTGTTAATTGTTTTCATGTTTCCCAGAGCTGTGTTCTGCCTCTTATTTGCATGTGTGTCCTCTCTACACTCAGATAACAATATAATAATATAATATAATGTGGCCTAGTATAACATGTTAAAATAAATGTAATGTGCGGGCTTTGGTTTTCAATCAAAAAAATGACTGATTGGTCAGATAATTTCACAATTTCATTTGTCATTATTACAGATTATGATGATCATTATTACTGCGATTAGCTCATTCTGATTAATGACTGACCATTAAGACGTGTTTCTGATAAATATTTTAATGTGCACAGTAATAACCTTTCATATTTTTATTTGTTATCTTTTGCATATGTGTGGCTGCTCCGTGTGTGTCTGAGCAGAGTGCACGCGCATTGTGCACCCGCCTAGAGACGCATATTACTAACTTGTTTAACAGTGAAATACTGCGCCGTTGACGTTAGACCAGGTTTTGTTGGTCACTGGCGCATTTGCTTTTTACGTCATCTAACTAGCAACGCGCCATGACTGCGCCTGACCACTCCTCATTTTTAGACCAACACACCCAGAGAAGCGCAAGTTCATTTGCTAGTTAGACGAAGAGGGCGCAGGGCGTGAAAATGACAACTGCATCTGCATCTAAATAGCAATGACACTTGCGACATGGATTATGCACCCTCCGCTGTCCACTTTAGACCATCTAAATAGGGCCCAGTGTCCTTACCGGATGCAATGCGAGCAAGCATCAGCGACTAAATCTGTTTGATTGCACTGTTTTCTATTGGGCTGTCCTAACTGCCCACGAGTGACGCAACACTGATGTTGAAATGAGGAGCTACCTACAGGGTACCTCCTTATTTCACTACAGAAGCCTGAATAAGTTAGCATCTGGCTGGAGGAAAACCGCCAGAAAGATGAATGTTTCTGGTATTGTGTAAGGCGCTAGCAAGCTAGCTTGTTTTACAAAGTGGAGATGGTGGTATGATATAGTATGAAAGCTACAACAGTGATATCTATAAGTTACCTGTGATAGTAGTATTGTGAGTATAAATAATAAGGAAGGATGTACTTACCCATCTTTTCAGTGGTTACTCTGAGACCACAGCTTTGGTTTGTTTACATGACATGACTGAGCTCCTTATTTAACGGATCCAGTGTGGACAGAGAGCGTTTGATGTAATACGATGCAGCACAAAAATCTGATGCTCGCATCCAGTTAGGCCACAGTGCAATGCTAGCTGATAGCTAAGTTAGCATGGTGCATTTACTGCTATGCTTAACTGTGATAATACTAATGCTAATGCAATTTTTCACTGGTGAAAAACAGTGTTAAAACCATTAAAACAAAATATACTTGCCGGAAAAACTGCTATCTGACTCCTCAGAATGTTTTAGTACGACCAATCACTGAGCAAGACTTTTTTTAGCTGACCAAAATGTTACAGTGAAACATTCATTCAGTGAAAACACTGAAATAGTACCAGCTACACCTTTAGTGAATCTGGGGTTACGCCATCGGTATATTAACTAACACTGTTGCCATGGTAGTGACTTGTCAACAAACAGCATCCACCTGTCACTCAAAGTGGCTACGCTGTTAATTGTGCATACATTTAAGCCTTAAAAAACATTTAAGCAAGAGAGTTATATAAAAATTCAACCCCTGTACAGTTTCCATGAATGTTGAAATTAGCTTTAGAGACCACAACTGGTTTTGTACCAGGTTGCAAACATGTTTATTTCTGCTGTAAAGCTGGCATTATGGGAATTCAGCCTCAAGTGGCCATTCAAGGAGCTGCAGCTTTTCCAGTCTTTATGCTGAGCTAAGCTACCACAGCCTGACCCCAGCTCTGTACTTAACACACAGACTGACATCCATCTTCTCTTCTCACTCACAGAAAGCAACAAAACATATTTTCCAAAATGCTCAATTCCTTAAACATGTATGCTTGTACTAATATTTAATTGGAATGGTATCAAAGGGGTTCAAAGCGATTTAATACGAAGCTATTCTAAATTCTTAAAAAAAAAAGTTTTATGAGGGAACAAAAGACTACTGCAAGGGAACCCAGAGGATCTAAAAAATGCTCCCACTGCAGCTCTTCAGGAACCCTTTTTTGTATTCTAATTTTTCAGATGTAAATGTCAGTATCTTGAAACAAGACATAATAAGATAGATTGCCACACTTGAGGCACCAAAGACTAATTTTATTATTCATTCATTCAGTCATGTAGAGGACATAATACATCTTAAAATAACACTTTATTTTTGAAAAGGGTTGTATTTGTATTGTATTTGAACTAGGGACATTTTAAGACTTAATTATTGACCGACTGGTTAATATTTTATTTTGCAGTGTACCGCCATATAAGAGCAACATCCTTGTAGTGCATAAAGCATTTCTAAAACAAATTTAGTTTCACAGGATGAATAGAGAGAGGTTTGTCAGTGCATCAAGGCCTTGTTGAATCCTGGGCCGTAGCTATATAATAGAGAGAAACAGGAGAGAACTGCTTAACGTGCTGCTTAAGGCCAGTCCGGTCCTAATCAGCCTCCCAACTGTTTCTCCCAGCATGCACAGGGAGCCTGAGCAGGCTCCTGACCACAACAAGGCAATCAGCATCACACATTAGGTGTTGCATGCTGTGGGGGAGACCCCGGGCATCAAAGCATTTGATAACAAATTCAAGGTTTTTAATGTCTTCCAGAACCTTTCAGTTTTTTTATTGTGGTTTCTAATGGAGGAATGTTTCTCTCTTCAGCTCCCAGCTCTGTTTTGTTATGCCACTGTGCTGTATTGAAGCGAATGACAAGGTTCTCTGCTGAATCCATGCAGTTCAGACCACCTCACTTCCCGCTTTGCAAACACAACTCGTTTCATTTTTAATGATCTCCTCAAGTGCATATATTCAGGTCTTCCTTTGCTTAAAGACCCCCCTTACCCATGTGCACGCACATGCACGCACACACATGCACACGCACCTCGATTTATTCTCACAAACTTGACGGCATCTTGAAAGCGCTGCTTATAATTTCTGAGGTGAATGCACCTCCATCTTTCTTCATTTGAGAGGCCCCTCATCCCCTCCCCGCCCTTGAGTTTCTCCAATGTCAGCGCTCACTTCAAAAGCCTCAGAATGAGTTCTGAGGACTCCATTGAGATTTCCCATTGCAAACAATTATTCTGTCCATGGTTCTTTGACAGAGATTTCTTTAGATTTATATTACTAGGCCATGAATCAAATATCTCTCTGTCTCAGTGGTGCCTCGTGCTTCACAGTGGTTATGCTATTGACCAAAACCTTGAGCTGAATGTAGATTATTCTCTGTGGAGGGATCTAGGAACTGATTTAATTCAAAACAGCTCAGTCAGGAGTGAGATTTGGAGAGCAGATTTAGGGGAAAGTAGAGTTTAGATGTAGGCGTCTTCACATTCAGAGTTTTTTGGGTTGTTGAAGTTCAACTTGTAACTCAGTCCTCCTCCCACCTTTCCCCTTGCTCCCTGAAATCCAACAGCCTCTCTGGCCTGTGTACCTGGGATATCCACCTGGGCTGGGGGGGGTCTTTCATGATGTGCGGCTGTATCATCCAAAATAGATAAGAAAGCTTCTCTTTGCCACAGGAAGACGTTGTGAAGTCTCCCCAGCAGTGGTCCCAGCAAAGGCCCCACACAGGCTGCCAATGAGAACAAGAGCTGGTGCTTTAAAAGAAGCTTCACTACAACACGGCACACCTCCCTCAGGTAACCACCCACACTGAGGAGACTCACAGACACAGCCATGTCCTGGAGGAAAAATGAATCTGAGTAAACATGGCTGAATAAATAAATGCATCAACTGTCTTTATTCTGAATTTCAGATTATTGCTGGAGGACTCTCGGGTGAAGTTTGAAACCAAACCCACCTGAGATATGTTGCATTACAGGCAACTGTTGTTATACGGGCAAGCAAAGCTTATAAATCCAAACACATCTTACTGCTGTTTGTTTCTGTATTAAGTAAATCTTATACCAGCATTATATCATATTGTTATGATCATACTTGTTTTTACTGCTGAACATTTGTCAAAGGATGCAGTATTGTTTTAAATATCTGAGGTGTGTTTTATACCCTCCAGCCGATGCTTTTCTTTTTAGCACACAATGAAAATCAACTTGCAGAGATTTTAAACTTGCTTGACTTCAGTGATCCATCACAGTGAACATCATATCTGCTTTTATTGTCGTCAAAAACACATCATTTTTATCATGTGGCGATATAGTTCTAAGGGTAGATTGATTTGGAAAATCTGCATCATGTTACCACGCAGTCATAACAACGTTCTGACAGCAGGCAGTCGTGATGTCTGCTGTGAATGATTACCGAACTCAAGCAAGTTCCTTTGCAAGTTAATTTTTACAGTCCATTTAAATGAAGTGAAACCAGCCTGGAAGGTAAATCAATCTGAAAAGTTATGTGAGAAATGGATGTTTTTTGAGATTTGTAATAATTGGACTAAAGCATCCAGAAACACTGCTCCTTAAAGGAGGATTTTTTTTAAGTGGAGTTGTACAGGGTACTTATCCATTGTTAGTGTGTTACATACAGTAAATGTTAGTCAGCATGCCCCTAGTTTGGAGAAGCAGGTTGGAGTGCCGACATGTGACTTAAGCAATGTACTGCTGTGGATGGGGTCAGCAACAAAACGTATTTTAGCCACCTAAAAAAAGTTTAAGTGTGCGCTATATTAAGAGTAATTTCAGCACTTTACCTTTCCTTTAGATAATCTGTTCCGACGGGGGAGCCGTTGACGGCTTCAGTTCCCATTTATGTTGTCGTCAAAGCCACCCGACTCCAAACAATAATTTTAGCTTCCTGAACACAGTAGCTGCTGGTCTATTGCTGCTTCAGTCAGTTAGTTAGTTTGTGTTATTGTGTGACTTTAATGAATCTTGAACTGAACACCAGAGTCACACAATAACACAAGTACACTAACTGATGGAGGCAGTGGTTCCTGTGTTCAACAATATTAAGTCACTGTTTTTCTGATTGGAGTCTGGCTTTGAAGAGAGTTATATAATGGCTTCATTTTCCATTTTTCACTGTCTCACATTAAGGTAAATCAGTGAAAATACTGTCAATACAGTGTGCACTTTAACTGATATTGGTTAGTTTCCATGTTGGGCTCCAGCCTGTTTGTCCAGTTGTGAGCACGCCGACTAGTGTGTGCTGGTGTTATGTGCAATACATGAATGGCTGATGTGCAATACTGTTATGTTAAGTATGTGGAGTTTTTGTTTGTTTGTTTGTTTTTATGTTGTATACTTTTCATTTTCTCTGGACTATAATTGTAAGGCAGCAACACTTGTGCAGCTCCTGAGTCTAAGACGAATTTCCCTACAGAGACAATAAAGTATACTGTATCGTATCAGTCGTGCTGTATTGAAGCATATTGTACCCTACCCTACCATACTGTCTATGGATCAGTACCCCATACAACCCCACCTCAAAAAAGCTCAACTATCCCTTTAAGTAGAAAACCTGAGCTCAAACACATTTCTTATCATCATCGATTAATGAATTAATTTATGATTAAGTATGATTTGTCTCTTACAAAAAAAAACAGAACATGTGAAATTCATGTTTTCATGTGTTGAAATTTTACACATCAGAAAGTCTTGTAGATATTGATGAAAAATTGGACTGCAAAAGAACCAATAAGTCCTTCAATTTATTGTGTGTACACTCAGGTCTGTACTATTAACGGATAAAAGTCATTTTAGGATGGATTTAACATAATGTAATGAAATGAAATGAAAATGAGATATTATTCTTAAAATATGGTAAAAACTGCTTGTGCTTATGAGAATTAATTACAGGACAAATACCGTTTTACACATTATAAAATGTGTTCCNGAGGAGAAAAGTTTTTCACTCATTCTTAGTCCCAAAAAAGCCATTCACAAATCCAATAAGATTCCCTGTGAATCGTTTTATAGCCGCTGCAAATCCTCCAATGCTGCAGATATTCAGATTTATTCACAGCAGATCTGATCGTAACACAACTCATATCTCGTCAGGCACATTTGTACCACTACCGCTCATTGGACCCTTATTATATGGCTTAGTAATTCTTTTTTTTTTTTTTTTACTTTTTAAAAAATCTGAATGGCAGCCACCTTTGTAACCCATAGGAAGATCTGTCACTGGGTTCTTTGCAAACAAGAGTTCATGTGTCAAATGTAATTGTATTTTAACAAAATGTCATGAAATGTAGTATTTCACATAGAAAAATGAATTCATTGCACCACAGATGTTGTTTTACACGTCATGAACTGTGTTTCTAATTGAATACTTTTAAAATTACAAATAAAAATTATATAGGTTCAGGCATAATTAGACTCATAACAGGTCTCCATTGTTTATGGAATGTGACTTTCTACAAGTGTAAATAATGAGTGATCTTTTCCATACAGTACAATTCCTGTAATTTTTGTAACCAGATTGCAGTAGAAGGGGGTCTGGATCCAGTTCTACACATTATGAACTGTGTTTCACTGTTTTATAAACAGCCTCACATGTAGCCGTTGTTTTCAGTTTTGAAATCTAAAAATCACATGTACTTAAAACATGATATTATGATATAACAAGACATGATATTATTACATTTACAATGTTACTGTAATGTACTGTAACTAATTACTTTCAAATGAAGGTAACCAGTAATATGTAACATATTATATTTTGAGAGTAACTTGCCCAACACTGGGTATGGTGTATGTGAAATACTTGCGGTTACTGTTTTAAGTGTCTATAGTGTTTATCGACTTTATCGACATGTTAAAAACATGTTTATATGTCTAAAGAAACCTAATTAATCGATAAGTAAGAAGATGAATATTTCCAATAACTTTTCTTTAAGAGGTCACACAGAGTATATTACAGCTACTTAAATTTGAGGATGCGTTGTTTTTTCTGTTTCACATCTTGTTGTTGAATCCAATGTTGAATCTACCTATCAGACTAAATGAGCAATTTGACAAATATGGCATCAGACATTGGGAACAGCTCATTTGCATCTATTATCTTTTTTCCTTTTTACATTTTATGCACTTAATATCATCAAAGAAATGTAGACAGACAGAGTTAGTGTGTGTACAGTGGATATCAGCTGCTAGTAAACGGTGTCATTTTTCCAGAGTGCACAGCTGTGTCTCAGAGCCGGGCTGAATCAATGCTGATCAACTTCTATAATGAACGTGGGCTGTGAAAACCCTGTGCCAGTGTTTGTGGAGACAGGTGAGCCTGGACTGTTTTGATCTTTCAAACATGTATTCCATCTCTTCTCTCACCACAAGGGAGCCTCCATCCAAGGTCAGCGCTCAAAGGCAGGGTGCACCATGGGAAATGAGCCTGAGCGAGTGTGTGCCAGCCTCCCGCTTTTGTGGGATCAGCACGGCATCAGAAGGATCGGACTGACACTAGTGAAGTCTCCCGGTATCACCTATCACTACCTGTTTCTGCCACAGAGGAAACCAAAGGCCTGCTCTAATTGTATCATTAATATCATTGCAGTCTGAGGGCCAATTATTCTCTCTTTGAGTTTCACCTGCCCCAACCTTGAATCAGGCTCTGCTAGGATATTTGAGCACAGACTGGCTGTGTTAGTGATAGAGGAGCTTTCCAGTCATCTGTGATCAAAGCTGTATGGATGCTGGCCTGAAGACGCAACCAAGTTCAACACACAACATGCCTCAAATGGCTTCTAATAAGGAAACAATGCAGTGTGGTGTACAGTATCTAATGATGTACATGCACATGCTGACCTCTATCTGCAATCGGGTGCTCACATGCACCATGACTTCATTATATCAAATTGGTTTGCTAAAACTCCCAAACTTAGTTTAATTTTTAAGCTCCTGAGACCCTGCATCCTCATCTTAAGACATTATATTTTGGCTTTCCTGCACCTCATACTTAATTTTGCTTAAGTTATGGTCCTGTACAGTTAAACTTAATTCACCTAAAACACCTATCCAAGGCAAACCTAAAGTAAAATGAAAGCTGTTCTTGTTCCATTTTTAGTACATGGACATGCATGGCCTTATTTGAAAGGTAGCACTGCAATTTTTCCTGATCCTTGATCACGAATGAGTTAGCGATTTAGAACATGCATACAAATATAAATGTTTAAACTTTTGTCAATATGGAGATGCTACACATCGTTTGTTTAATTAATTTGGTTTTACTGAATTCATGAGCACCAGAGAAGAGTGTAACTCATTCAGATTTACCGGCATGATGAAATAAAGTGGTGACTTCCTTCTTCTGAAGCTGTCATCAAGTCAGAATATGTGTCCATTCCTCGATTACCCAGTATGTTATTCATATTCCTTTAGTCTGTAAGGGTCCACCAATCAAGACAATCAAAAGTGTTTTTCTAAAAGTAATCCAAGTTATGAATATTGCTTTAACAGGATAATGTGGTGTTGTGTTGGAATGCCAGGTACCGTGAAACAAGTGTCTACTTGTAAGTAGAATAGTAAGATCTGATAATAAAATATGGTAGATAAAACAGAAACCTTAAGTAAACATGTGGGGTTTTATGGAGCTATATTTGTGTCTTTATTACATGCGAGAAAATAAATGATATGAGAGAAAAAAAAATATTTGAGAGAAAAAGTTTTCACACTGATAGCCAAAAATAATAATATTTGAGTTTCGCTGTGAAAATAATGTCATGGCGGGGCCACGTGCCTATTGGCCAGTCTCAATCGAATTGACAGCTAGGTGAGGATCGTCTTGGAAGTCGAATTCAACTGAATCATTCATCCACCATGGTGGATTCACTGGCATAGATGCACTGCATTATTTGGGAGTAGATATACATACATTAACGTTATGCGGGTGTGACCAAATGGAGAGGAGAGGGAAATGAGGGAAAATCTTTGAAAGAAAGGGAAGATTAGATATTGGTCTATAGTTGGCTAACACCTCTGGATCCAGGGTGGGCTTTTTTAGTAGAGGTTTAATTACAGCTACCTTAAAAGACTGTGGTACATAGCATGTTAATAAGGATATATTGATCATATCTAATATATGAGTGTTAACTAAAGGAAAGACCTCCTTAAGTAGCCTAGTTGGGATGGGGTCTAAGAGACACGTTGATGATTTAGATGAAGAAATCACTGCGGTCAGTTCTTGAAGAGAAATTGGGGAAAGCAATCTAAATATATATTAGGTCTTACAGCTGTGTTTGAGGTTAGATAGGTACTATCTGAGGACAGGAGGTCATGAATTTTGCCTCTAATAGTTAGAATTTTGTCATTAAAAAAGCTCGTAAAATCATTACTGCTAAGGGCTAAAGGAATACAAGGCTCAATAGAGCTTTGACTCTCAGTCAGCCTGGCTACAGTGCTGAAAAGAAACCTGGGGTTGTTCTTGTTTTCTTCTATTAATGCTGAGTAATAGGTAGTCAAAGGTAGTGTGATGAAGGACTGAATGACTTTAAAAGTGTTCATTTCTGTGTTTCCCTGGTACAAAAGAAAAAATAAATTACAAAAAACAAAAGAAATACCAATAGAAAAACATCATTGTCAGCTTTTCACCAAATTGTCATTTTAAACATTGGTATCAGTATTGGCCCAGAACTTTAAAAGTGGTGCATTCTTAGTTCGATTTGAAAGTTAATTGATATATTGTATTATTATTTTATAATGTCATATATCATTTTATTGTTTATTCTTCTGAACAAGTTAATTTGTAATTTTTTTTTATTGATTATTGATTTATATGATTATTTTAACACATACAACATGTTACTGAAAGAAAATTAGCAGATATTTTAATCTTATTTCTTATTGTTAGCTAGGTTGTTTATTTGCATTTTGGTAATAAACGGGCATTATTTTGACTGTTGAGCTGAAGCTGAACAATTATTGGGGGGCAGTGAAATGAACAGTTTTGAACAGTTTTAGACTTGAACAGTGAACCCAACACAAAACACTGAACACATTTTGTATTATTTTGTAATTTTGTTTTTGCACAGGCATGTTTAGGCATTGAAATAAACTGTTTTATACTTAATTACACACTTGTAGTCACCTCATGTAACCATTAAAAGTAAACCTATTGTCCTCATATCAGGACATCATTTGTTTTAAACTTCTTATTGTTCAAAGACAATGCTTAGTTTCTTATACTTATCAGGTCCTACTAATCCCATACAGTCAGGAGAAATTATAGGGCCTATATTTGTATAGCCCACCAAATAACATCTGGGCTGTCAGGAGGTTAAATTCAAATTCTAAAAATGAATGCCCTCCTTTTAAGTATTTTCAACACAGTTTCCTATGCTAGTCTCAAACATGGCACTTGCAGAAAAGTTTCACCAGCTAGTCAGTGTATTCTGCATCATCTCTGATTAGCATGTTTTTAGATGCTATTTGTAACAGCATCTACAAATAACATTCATGTCATGATATATTTTTCTTATTGTGTTTGACTAAATGTAAAATGATACTTCACCCACTGGACATGATAAATATTGGTCAATAGCAGAGCTGCATCCTGGGATATTAATAAAAGCATGCACATGGTGTGTCTTCTGCAGCCACAAACAGCATGACAAATTAGAACTGTGACTCATAATGGATAGTCCGGCCATTACTGACACTGTCCCCTGCCAGGCCATTTTTTCTTCATCATAAACTGCGTGTGGGCCGTTGGTGGCTCAGAAAGTGTTGTTTCTTATACCTGCTTCAGGCTAAAGAAACACTGATGAATTAAACAACAGGAAACCAATCAATCTGAGCAAGCCGATTTGTCAGGTGTGAGCGACTGGATCACCGCCCGGTGACAAATTCAGTCCCAGCTGCTGCTGGGGGTTTATCCAAACCAATGGGAACCTCTGAAAAAAGACCTTCACACTGTTGAATAACACACTGTCCAATTCACATCAAACATCAACCTCAAGTTGTCCACTGCAGCGGCTCTTAATGTGTTTGGCCGTCGGAAAGTCAGAGACAGTGCCGTAACTAGCAAATTCAGCACCATAGGCAAACTTCCCCTGTTATTATTAGGCTTTTTTTTTTTCATTACAAACTAGAACAAGACCCTAATGAGAAACCAACACAAATAAACAACTTAGATAACAAACAATAATGTGGAAACAAATAATGACAGAATGTAGCATAATTTTGTCCTCTTCCTCTGCTATACTTTTTTTTCTTCATCCTCAGTGGCTTTTCCTCATCCTAAGTGGCTTTTCCTTTTAATTTAATTTAGTTTAATTTAATATGATCTCTTGCTATAATGCTGTCCTTATCAACACATTTTCACTCCAACCTTGTCACATATTATCATTTGGTCATGGACTTTTCATGTCGAAATATGACGCACAGTGTACCCTAGGTGTGTTGGCTGTTGACGTTGTGGGACACCATGTCACCTTCAGCCTGTTACATGCATTGTCTGTTGTCAAAATACACTTCTGCTTTCACAGGAAATGTACACTTTGCATACAGTCTCTTTCACATTAAATGCACTATGTTGGTACAACACTGCAAATTGATGTTTTTTTCCTTCAACAACACATGTGGTTGGGTTTAGGACAAAAGAACAGGGTTTGGCTTTACACTCAGGTGGGAGGCAAACACCGGCCTCCCTGATGAAAGTTGGTGATTGTTGGACCCATCCACCACCTCTCCTACCTGCCCTAGTCAAACTTCTGCTGCCTTAACTTTAGTTGTTGTCTCACCGCCTTTGCCCCTGATGCCCCCATTAAACAATAACAGCAACTGGGCTGTATCATGCTGACATGAAAGGACGTCTTTGTTCATTGGTGTCTGACGCTGGAAGTCACTGACCAAGCATTGGTTTTCCACGACTTCTGAGTGAGATCAGGTTGAAAAAATGGAGTCACGATTTTGGCACACCACTCTCAGCAGCACCCTAAACAGCCACCTATGTCGTGTCTAGATCAGAACATCATCATAACAACAACAATCACTTCTGGGTAGACAAGTGGCAATTGATTTCAATTGCGGAGATATGTGAAATAGGCAAACTTGCTTTTTATCTGTTGTCATTTTAAGCCGTAACTGTAACGTGTTGAGTTAATAGTTAAACACTGTGGTCCGACCCATCTAGTGTTTCTACTGTGCTTATTTTATATACTTTCTTGCTTTGCCATTATCTTTGATAAACCAAATGTACCAGCACAGAAGCTGAACAATGTACTGCTGTGTACGGGGCTGCAGCAAAATGGCTTCATTTCCCCATCGGAAAAGGCTGTCTGACAGCAGGGTAAAGTGGTGAAAATATTCTAAATATAGCATACGCTTAAAGTGATATTAATGTTTTTGGTGGGCCTTTTTTTAAGGTGGCTAAAAAACAACCAAATAAAGCAGCATTTGGTCAGTGTTGTTTGATTTCATGTACATAACGTGAGGCTCAGTGTAAATAAACATTTTGGTTGATTTGGAAGATCCACCACTAGTCAGAGTCAATCTAATGTTTTTACTAGAGTTTACTGCAGCTGATTTATTTCCGGCAGGTTTTATTTCAAAGTCACTTTTTCAATGTGTGTTTTTAATATTCTACAATAGCATCCTCCTGTTTCTGTCAGTCATGACAATCAGGCCAGAGGGTGTTGTGATTGGCAGTTTCCTCAGTCATAATCACTGTTGCTCAAAATGCAGCTCACAGGCCAGTGGTGGCCCTCAGAAACATTTTGTGCGACCCCCGAATGTTACATGAAATGCAAGCATTACATTTGAGTCATTCAGGGTTTATTTTAATACTTCAATACTTCAGCAGCTACATTTGATAATATAGGAGTGGACGCAAATCTTGTTGATGGTTTCTGTGGATGGCGTTTGATGGTAGTGACATGTGGCTGCGAGTCACTCATCAGATGAGGACATCAACTCACCAGTCTGCATACTCTCGCTAGCCAGCTAGCCAGCTAGCCAGCTTGAGGGTTTCAAATGTAAACATCAATAAACACGGAGAAAAGATGGAGAAGAATGCACCAGCTTAACTAGCATCCTGCTAGCCATTGTTCAGGCGTTGGGTAATAAACTGGACGACCTCTGCATCAGTTTCCAACAGGATGCCAGGAACTGAATTATCCTTTGATTCACCTAAACTTGTCTAAATCCTGGACAGCACCATTCAACCAGGAGGCTCTTTTTCCATATGCCGATCCAACAGAGCAGAGGACTAAGTAGAGAGAATGAGAGGAGTGTGCTTTATGGTGAATAATATGGTGGTGTGACAGCGGGATCGTGAGGTGCTGTCCTGTTACTGCTGTGCATCACAGCTATTGGCCATTCAGAGGCGGCTGCAG